ACGGCAACGTTCTCTCCTGATAAAGCCCTGCCACGATAATGAATTGTCGCCTGTTATCGGTCTCAAATCTACCAGACAACTATTACGTCAAATTGCCCCGAGGTGCTTCTACCTGGACCAAAGGTACGGCCAGGTGTGAATAGGTAACATGCCGGAGGTAGTAGCGTCATCTGACCGTTTCATGAGTACTTGTTACCAGGCGAAATGTTGGAGTAAGTCGTGGACGTTCACGGTAACTCATAGGTAAACACATGTACACCCATCCATTGTGACTAGGGCCGACACCCGTTAAGGTGTGTCGGGGAGACGGGCGTACATTTGGCTGTGTGGAGAAACGCTTGGAACTTTGACATCGGTAAACAAAAATATTTAAAAGGATATTATTTTTCTATTCTAACGAAACAACCAAAATTACAAGCCATATCATATTTTCGTTTCAAATTATATTTTTAAGTATTTTTTTAAAGAGAAAGCTACAAGGCACGGGCTGTGATGAACATTTGAATAGCAGAAAGTTGTGAATAGTGATTAGACTATCACTGGTTCCGTTTACATGGAGAAGGAAAACTCACATGATCCGGGATACACCGATAGTTTATTACTTAATACATTACGGAACTCAGCTTTGTTAAATTATCATACATGTACTTTGAACTAGACTGTTAGTGGTTATTCTAAGGATTACTCTCTCTCNCCCCCCCCCCCCCCCTCTCTCTCTCTCTCCCTCCCCTCTCATCCCTCTCTCCCATCACCCCTTCTCTCTCCCACCCTCTCTCTCCCCTCTCTCGGTCTCTCTTCACTACCTCTCTGTATATCTCTCTTAATTAAAACCGATGTAAATATATATGTATTATGCTACCTTGAAAATTTGTATTAATATATTGTAGGGAAAGGGCTTAATATAAGTTGTTAAACTTGTGCCCAACTCCCTTTGTATAGAAATTACAATAAAATATGTTTCAAACAAAACAAAAATTAAACCACCGAAAACAATCATTAGAAAATTAAAGTGAAAATGTCCTTGAGAAGTGCACAGTATCTGGTCAGTTATTTTAAGGTTTATTCAACCAAAAGAATAAATAATCTACCACGGACTAGCTTTACTGCACTATACAGACAGGGTTCACGTGACTTGTTTTTTTCTACCATATTTTCTATAGCATTATTCTTCGAAATAGAACCTGATCGTAACCTAGCGGAAAGAAATTATTCTAAGGGAAGTAATCCAGTGTAGATTCCTACCTAAAATTGAAACTTTAAATCCCAGATCAGAGACGTCCCTGCCCAGATGTCGCTCAAAGTCCTCTGAACTTACATGTGCATAGTCTAGAAACCTGATATAATCTCCATAACTTTTATGGTTCTGATGGAATTCTTTTAAACGAACCTTTGTTAAACATTTAACCGTTGGCATAACGACGGAATTAGATCTTATTCCGTGGCGTAATAGATTTATCTGTGTGACAATCCCCAGTGTTAACCTCATACCCTATGACATGCTATACATGTACAAATGATACACAAAGCTCCGGTAGTATCACTGTTATAAGACTCTGTTTAATCCCCAGTGTTAACCTCATACCCTATGACATGCTATACATGTACAAATGATACACAAAGCTCCGGTAGTATCACTGTTATAAGACTCTGTTTAATCCCCAGTGTTAACCTCATACCCTATGACATGCTATACATGTACAAATGATACACAAAGCTCCGGTAGTATCACTGTTATAAGACTCTGTTTGTGGACACTAGGACACTGTGCTACACTAGGACACTGTGCTACACTAGACTAATTTAATTCTCTATCGTCTGTTCTGCCCCTTGTGGTTTATAATTAGAGAAGAAGAATTAAGTTATAAGATAATGCTATTTACGGATATTGACTTAAAAAACAATGTCATTTTGTACCGATTAATTCTACGTTTTCAGATGGAATATTGCTTGATACGAGATGTTCTTATGATATAGTTACATACTCGTTAAAATCTTTTTATTCGACATAATTATATACTGTAAGTACACTGAAAGCGAGTAATAACCAAAAGCGATTCAAATGACGTTTGTTCCGTGCAAACAAATATGAAATTGTAGAGTCTATCCAATTTTAAAGGCATACTTCCAATAATGTTACAGTATATAAGATACATGTAGTCGCGCATCGCTTCTACATGTTATTCAACAGGCGAGGAGAACTCGAAGACCTCTTTGGTCAAAGAAATGTTTATTGGAAAGTTGATAATCAAAATCAAATCAAATCAAAAGTTTTATTTAACGTCGGTATGGTTAAAGCAGTACAACATTAGCTCTATTGAGCTATTAAAACCGAAGCATAAAATGACATGCACAGTTACACAATAAATATTTGGCAAAACAAATTAAAAGATGAGCACTATCTAATAGAGAGGTGACATAAGTAGAGGTAAGCTTTAGCTAAAAACTGGTTGTTAAAACTGTATTGTGAGCCTATGTGTTTTGTCTGCATGTGTTGCATTTGCATTTCCCATACCAGCTGTTTATTAGTGTCTTAAATTGTGTTAGTGTAGTTGTTGTTCTGAAGTGGTCTGGTAGGGCATTCCATATTTTAGTTGCTTCAGATTGAAATGAGTGTTTACCATACTTTGTAGTCCTAAAATGTGGTATATCTGCTGTGTTGTGATATCTGAATGTATATGTTTTTTTCTGTGATGTTGATAAGGTCGTGTAGGTATGTTGGTGTCTGTTTATTTGTGATTTTAAATACTTCTTTTGCAAAATTTCCGAGTCGTCTGATTTTGAGTGATGGTAATTTTGAGCGGGCAAGTAAATTTTCATATGTATTTTCGCGTTCATCGTAAATAAATTTTAAAGCCCTTTCTTGGATTTTTTTCCCATTTTTTTGTGCGTTTGTCTCACCGCAAAAGTGCCATGTAAGTGGACAGAAATGGTAGACTGATGACGCATACATTTGTCCCGACGTAGGCCAACTAAGCCCTTAATACCAGGTGGGATAAGTGATGATCTATCACTCGATACAGCCAAATGTAATTTTGTGTAAATTTCTACAGGAAAAAGACCTAGAATATTTCGATTGAGACCGTTTGTGACAATGTGTCATGTGACTAATCAGCACACAAATCGGACTCTCTAACCCCCTCTTCACCCTCTCTCTCTCCTCCCCCTCTCACCATCCCCTATCTCTCTATCTTCCTTTATCTACATGTGCATGTTTATATTTGTGCGCATGCGTGTGGTTCGGTGCGTGAATTTGTGGGTGTATGCATGTCACTGATTAATTAATTTATAATACATAGCTTATCTACGTAGTTCTGCTATCATGAAATTTTGTTAATAAATATTATTGTACAGGGAAAGGGTTTGATATAAGTTGTAAAACTTGTGCCCAATTCCATTGCTATGTAAAAAAAAGCAATAAATATGTTTAAATAACAAAAAAAATGGAAAGTGACACCGATGCATGCTGGGATATGGTGGAAACAGACAGAAATGGCGGGGACGTAAATAAATGATTGAGACAGACAGACAGCAATATTTTCCTATTAGTATTATAGCATTTCCAGAGTAAATGATTTGTTATATTTATAATCTTACACTTTACTGCTTTGAAAAAGTGCTTCCTTTGTGGCAGGGGAAACGCCAAAGGAATAAAGCTCCGTCACTAACGTTATTTTCTTGATGTGAATAATAATCCCATCAGACTGGATATGTACCAGTACAGGCCCACAGAACTGATAAAATCCATGTGACATACTTTGCTGTTTGTTCATTAGTACATGTACATACTGAAAGTTTACATCTAATTGGCAATACATTTCGCTTTAATTGCGGTGTAACACATTCAATGATTGATAAACTCATGCGAAATATCTCTCAATGACAATGTGAAAATCATCATAAAATAGAAGGTATAAAGCGGTAAAGATGTCAAATAAAAACACAACGAAATTAAATCGTATGCAAAACTGCCAAAACATTGGGCAGCGAAAATAACAGTATACGCGTAATGTATGCTAGTTATCTAAGCTTGTTGCATTATATAATTGTAAAACAACATTGTATTATTTCTGAGACCCGCTCGTATCTTAGTTAGCACCGATATCGCTGATAAGAAGTAACGTACAGTATATATATATATAGTACGAATGTTATCTACTCACTCAACAACACAGAGAGTCATATTTCAATGTAGGATCAGGTAATCGTGTGTAAGGGAGAACATAATGGCTCTTAATGAGGACAAATTGTGGCGATAATCTGCTACTAAATGTCCTTGTAAATGGCTTATACACTCACTGCACGTACTTATAGAGGACGAATACTGGGCAATATATCACTGGGAATGCAATCTAGAAAACAAAGAGTTATGATAATGACATAAAAGTTTTTAAACGACTTTGCGTTACATATAGAATTTATGACACCAGATTGAAAGTTTTTGCTCCTGTAATATTTAAAAGGATGTCATAATTTTTTAAGGTTTAACTCCTCATGAAACTTCAAAATATTAAATGTAAAAAAAATCTGTTTAATTTTTTTTCTTCAAAATCTAACTCAATCTCATGATTGGTTAAAAACTGAAATCGTGTTCTGTATCTCTTTATTTGTAACTGGATATGTGAACGTCACACTTGTTCATCAACCTCCATTAAAAATTGTTAGTTGAAATAACGAGATTTTAACAAACGGGTAACGTAATTAAAATGATATCCAATGGAATATGATTCTACAGTCTCTAACCATTAACAACAGCTACAAAACATATCTATTTCACTTTATCAATGGTAATTTTGACATGGTTGATTATGTGAGGAAATATTTAAAAAAAAAAATGCATGCATTTGCAAAACTCGGATAATATTCATCTGATAATGCCGAGTTACGTATACCAAAGGAGATAATTCTGATAGAGGTGACAGGTATACGCACTATGTGTAAGGTAGTATACCACAGTAGACTGGTATCTTGAGTATAAGTGTTAATAAACATTGTATACGTACGCGTGCTCCATTGCCCATGATTTCCATTTCTGAGTGGAGCGCATGTCTCAGACTTCGTGACGTATCATTGAAGCGGTTTCGGTGTTGTTCGCGGTAGTAAGGCGGTTCGTCCATTGGTTGTTTAGAGGCGGTGCTTTCACCCTGTCAAATAGAAACATTACATAAAACTCACAAACGACATTTTAAACTTCTCTTTTCCTTATCAAAGATATCTGAAAATAAATCTCGTTGTTTCGATAAATCACGTCTACTTCCGGTTCGCTCCAATATGGTAAAATCGTCGAACCCATTACCTCTTGGTAGAAAAACGTTCGCTCGTTCTGGTTGTTACCCAATTAGGGTTAGTTTAATATATGAATACAGTATTATACAAGAGGCCCAAGGGCCTTAGCGGTCACCTGAGTTATATTATAGGTACTGGTAGCTTTATTTTATTGTTTAGATGTGATGTGGAAATCAGCATGTAAACTAAGTGAAATACAATACTTGTCAGGTCATCAAAGGATAGGAATTTTAAAATATTGGTTAATGTTCCCTTTGGGGCCCCGCCCTAGCCCCTGGGGATGGGGCAGGAATTCCAACTTTACAACGTAATACCCTCATCCACCAAAGATGGTTCTGACCTAGTTTGAATAATTTTCTGCTGAAAAAGGATAAAATATACCCAAAAGTGTTATTTCCCTATATAAACTATAGTAAACTTTACCCCCTCCCACAGGGAGAAGGGATGGCCCGGGGGTCCTGAAATTTACAACTGAAATACAGCCCCTGATGATCTTTCCATCCATGCAGAGAAAATGACTGTAGTACCATTGAGTCTGGAGAAGAAGATTTTTGAAATATTGGTTAATTTTCCCTTTGGGGCCCACCCTGGCCCCTAGGGTTGGGGTAGGAATTCGAATTTTACATTTTAATACCATTTTACTCTTAGGATAATTCTCACCAAGTAAGAATAATTTCCTACGGAAAATTGTCAAAATATACCCAAAAGTGTTGTTTCCCTATATAAACTATAGTAAACTTTACCCCCTCCCCAAGGGAGAACGAAAAGCTCGAGGGTCCTTAAATTTACAATTTAAATAGAGACCCTGATGATCTTTCCATCCATGCAGAGAAAATGTCTGTAGTATCTCTGAGTCTGGAGGAGAAGATTTTTGAAATATTGGTTAATTTTCCCCTTGGGGCCTCACCCTGGCGCCAGGGATTGGAGTAGGAATCGCAATTTTACAATTCTGTAGCCTCATCTACCAATGATGATTCTGACAAGGTTTGAAAAAATTCCATCAACTGGTTCTTGAGAAAAAGTTGAAAATGTAAAAAGTTAACGCACGACGGACGACGACGAACGGAAAGTGATCGGAATAGGTCACTTGAGTAAAGCTCATGAGGTGACCTAAAATGTTATTGTCACAGCCGATGAACGATGTTTTAATTGTCATACTTAGGTGAAGTTTTGGCCGGGAAAGAAATGACGTCACAGTGATTTGTAAATGTATATTCAAGTCATTGTGACGTCATTACACAAAATAGGTTTTATCCTGGTCGAACACTAAAAGCATGGTTATAAAACTGAGAAGGACAGTTTTCACATAGAAATAAGCTTGATGAAAGAAAAGTGCCTGAAATCGTAATGGTTGCTTATCATTTTTATCTAACGTTACAAACCTATAGAAATAATACCATACCACAACTCCAACAACCCTCGTCTGTGTATTTATTAGTATTTTCGATATTTGTCAATGTTATGAGAAAGTATATATATATACATATATATCATGTATATGTGTTACACTGATGAGTCGCAAGACTCAAAGTTAATAAAGAACTTGAACTTGAACAACCAAAGTGGAGTATAAAATGGTCTAAGGTGGATGTTGCGGTATATGTGCTGTTGCAAAGCACGGTCCCACTACAAAACAGAACTCAATACATCTCCAGCACACACGCAGGCATACACAGATAGGGAGATGTTAGCCATGTGGCATAGGACTAGTAGTAAGCGCCTGATACGACAGCGATTTCCTCAAAATTGTATTGATTAATGTATATGCTGATTGTATTAATTGTATATCTATGTACTGTAAAGCGCTTAAGAGTAGCTAATGTTAGCTAGATAGGGAGCTATATCAAATGTGTATTATTATTATTATAACATGCAATATTTCCGTTTGTTATATTATCGTTCTTCTTCTCACGGATAAAACTGGACAAACAACAAGTTCCACATTGAGCAGATTACCGAACAACATGTTCCACATTGAGCAGACTACCAAACAACATGTTCCACATTGAGCAGACTACCAAACAACAAGTTCCACATTGAGCAGATTACCGAACAACATGTTCCACATTGAGCAGACTACCAAACAACATGCTTATGTTCTTTTTGTTTTAACAGAAAGAAGAAAGAAAAGAAAAAAGAAAGAAAGAAAATGCACTTTTCAGTCATAGCCCAGAAATGTTGAAATAACTTCTGGTCAATATTTATATTTACATTGTTTATTTATGGTTATCAGATATTTTGAATTGAAGTATTCTCGGAAACGGCGTTCCTGGAACTGTCTTACGCCATCTCAATGGTTGCTCTTACCATGGTCTAGTGTCCTGCGTGGCGGGAAGAAAAGCTTCAAAATGAAACTAATCCCATTGCGTTCCTAGCACTATCAATGATATTTTTCTTATTCAGCGGGAACGGACTTATAGGTCTGTATAACGCGTGGAAACAGTTACACCCTGATCACCAAGAGCAGACGAAGTGATATGGGTGTGACGTGCTTACTTTAATAGGTACTGATTAGTTAGATATAATTAGGACGCCCACAGTAATGTTTTATCATTCATAATTACATCGCAGATAGAGAAAATATTTCCTTTAATGAGTCTGATAATCGTTCTAGAAATACATTCTTTCTTCATAAAAATAACTTCCCTGAGAGATCTATCTTGAGAGGTCATATGCGTCCATCACGTGAGACGATCTCATACGACATCTCCATCTAAATAAACACTTGTTGCTTCAGCGATCATTTACGTCCAGAGTTCACCTAACATTCGATATAATAAGTCGGTATAAGGTCCAGTATCTATTGTAGATGTATATTGTCCAATCAGAATGGGTTTCTCTATTTACTGCATTCAAAGCTGCAGATTCACCGTTCATGCTGCTATTACGATGGATTTATATTTTTATTGTGATTATTGTATAGTAACAGTTTTATGAAGAATTTATATATATATCAAGATATTATGTTATTGTGTAAATCAAGTTTAGCGAACATGCTATTGATACAGTATATGGAATTATCAAACAAAATCCAATGCCAATGGTCGTAGGATTCATACAATTGATAATCCAGGCCTCGGCTTAATTTAAAGATTAAAAAGGCACTCATTAGGAATACGATTGTCAAGGATTAAGGAAAGTACATAATGAAGCCGACTTGTAATTGAAAAGTCAGCCTAACACTAAGGTCATGATGTCCAGAACTTTCGGACTTTGTACTTTGATATATGTATGTATATGTAAACAGTCACGTTCAACTTGTTCTTACATAACACGGTTAAACAAGAACATAGTGACATGGTCAGTTAATTATTATCCCGGGCTTATCACCAAAACAAGGGTACCGAACCGACCCTTGGTGACCAGGATCACATGATGCGAAATTCTGCATTTATTGGTCAAGCAGTAAGACAATTGACCATCACTATGGTGCTGAGTATAAAAAGGTTCGATCTCTCCCAAACAATCACTTTGGGAATGAAAATCTAAAGATTGCCTTGCTTTTATTTTAAGGTAAGAAATTAAGGTTATATTGAACAGTACACCTCTTAATTGTAAATGTAAAAGCGATAATATAGAAAAAGAATGTTTTATTTTGTATAAGGAATAATTATGAGTAAAAGTTAATTACTATATATTAATAAGAAAATGGTTAACAGTTGATTATGAAGTGCAAGATATAATTGATAATTTTTATTGTATATTGTATGTAGTAAGTATTAGTTTGTTTGTTAGTAAAATATTTAATTATGCAAATAAACTTTGGGAATGAAAATCTAAAGATCGCCTTGCTTTTATTTTAAGGAGGTCGGACTGGATAATTGAAACGCTACCTCTCACTTACGCCACTTGCGAGTTTATCATCTCACAGCCAGAACAGAAAGGAAACAAAATATCCTCATTATTCTAGTCTGATACTGCACTTAAAGCTTCATTTCTTTTTACATATTTGTAGCAAATACAACGCTATATTTACAAAACTTAGTAATTGGTAATTCCAAAATGGCGCGCAGACTTTTTCAAGCGTGACCTCATTACAATATGCCGCCAAATATTACGCGACTTAATCCCAAAGTTATATTTTGCCGTAATATTTGCGTCATTATACTGTGATATTGTGATAAAAAGAGAATTTAAAAGTGTCCGTTGTATGCCCTATATTTTCACTCATGCTTTACACTCGGAGTTCAGGTCTTCATATGATATGAACGTAACCAATTTGCCTTCGTCCAAGCAAACACATTTCATCAACACTTGTATTTCATCAACACTTGTATTTATCAACACTTGTATTTCATCAACACTTGTATTTCACATTCAAGATTTATAGTAATAGTAATGGGAATATTGATATTCCTAAATATTCGCAATAATGAAATGTATCGTCTGTGCAAACGATATTCCTAGAACAGCATAACGTCACAAAAGGCTTCTTACGATAGTCTCGTTATTTTTGCGAGGTGAGTGGTAAGTGCCAAAACGATACTTTTGCCTTCGCGTTCATAGCCCTATGAGCACAATATCTTCTGGTAGATCCTATGATAAATATAAATCTGAATTTTCTATTTCGACAGACTTGCTATATTTCAATTACCATACAAACAACTAGTTGTGATAAAACTATGGAATTATGTTCTGTAAGCTCTCCATTCAAACAGCCTTAAAGTGATATGTTCATTTTATGAGATAGCCTTGGGGAATACATCAAGTTATCCGCACGTATACCGCCGTTACCAACAGTTAGAACAATCGGCGTGGTTTGCAGGCCATCTCCACCAATTAATAATCTCACATGGCAGGTAAATTCGATAAAATTACGTGGTAATGTCCCATTAAGTATTCTGTTAAATCTGTGTGG